AGGGAGGGGAAAAATGAGCTGATGCCAGAGGCTTAAGTGGATAGCAAATGTTTTGAGAATGATGAGGGCAACGAATGTACAAATGTGCTTTACACAACTGATGTATGTATGGATTGTAATAAGAGTTGTATGAGCCCCTAATAAAATGATTAAAAAAAAAAAAGAATGATGGCAACATATGTACAAATGAGCTTAACACAATGGATGCATGGATTGTTATAAAAGCTGTAAGATCCCCAGTAAAATAATTTTTAAAAGAATAAAGAAAAGCAGGCTGTCTCATCTTTTTTCTTGGAGCAGCTGGTGAGTCTGAAGCACTAGACTTTCCATTAGCAGATCAATGCTTAACTCACTGCACCACCAGAACGCCTTCTAGCAGTGCTGACAATAAGCACACTCACTGACTTGAACCCCATTCTGATGATTAGCAGACCACTGCTGATCTTATGGCACCTCTAATGCACCTAAATGGCTCTCCCTTCAACCCAAGGATATGGTAACTATTTTACAATGAATGTGAATTTTCAATTTTTAAAATTTTATTATGGTAGTTGAGCTTCTATTTTGCCAAGGGCCATTTGGCTATTAATAACATCATTCAAGGGCCATACTGGTCAAACATCTCATGAACTCACCCCTATGTGGTGGCTGGAACTGTTTCTCTTTAATGAGGCCTGTGATGTTAGCTGGTACTGATGAATTCTAGAGCTTTACTTGGCCCAAAGGCCAGACATTCCCCACCCGTGTCTATAGGGTTTCTGAAGCTATAAATCTTTACAGAAACAGATAACCTCAACTCTCTCCCATAGAGCAGCTGGCAGGTTTGAACCATCAACCTTGCTGTTAGCCATACAACTTTTGCCCAACGGCACCACTGGGGCTCCTGCTGCCCCCAGAAGTCAGTGACTCACTGGCAATAGAAGGTGGTGGGCGGATTCTGCTAGAAGCTGCGCTTCCCTCCTTTCTCTACCTAGTGCGGGGTCCTCAAACTTTTTAAGAAAGGGGACCAGTTTACTGTCCCTCAGACCCGTTGGAGGGCCGGACTATAGTTTAAAAAAAACTATAAACAAATTCCTATGCACAGTGCACATATCTTATTTTGAAGTAAAAAACAAAATGGGGCAAAAACGCCCAGCGGGCCGTATTAATGTCCTGGGTGGGCCGCATGTAGCCCGTGGGCCGTAGTTAGAGGACCCCTGACCTAGTGTTTCTTCTACTTGGAATATGCACCTGGGGTGGCAACTCGGGCAGTACACGTGCCCTGGCTGAGAGGCCAGAGCTCGCTGTTACAGCTGTCACGGCACTAAACGGCCACAGCTGTCTTTGCATATGAGGACTGCACCTCCACCCTTATCTCAAGGGCACAAGACAATCAAGAGCACCCACTGCACACTTGAAGATGGAAAGTTCTACGTCATATATATATTTCATGCTTTATATATCTTATCACACATTGTAGACAGGGATAACGGGTAGCCCCCTGCACACCTACAGCAGCGTCCTCTGGGGTCACCCATCATGGGGCTTGCACCTGTTGTTATACATGTCTGGGTAACATAAGAGGGCAGAGTCAAATGGAGAAATGGCCTTACCTCCTGTGGAATATCTTCTTTAAATCTTATATTCCGCTGAGACATGAAAACATTTGGGGGATTTTCTTGGAGTATATGCAACTTTAAGAAAAATGTGTTCATTCAGTGGAAGATCTCTGCATAATATTTTTACCTGAAAAATCAAAAGGAAGAACTTCTTTTAAGTTCTGGCCCCAACAAGGCAGGGAAAGGAAATGCATGAAAGAACAAAGAAAGTGCTCCTGCGTAGCAAGAGGTGGGTCCTTTCAGCCCAGCCAGACATGCCTCTGAAGAAAGGCCTGGTGGCTGGGCCCTGCAGGTTCAGCACTAACGCAGACAGACTGGGCTCAAAAGGCAACTGTGTTGGTTTGGGGCAGGCTTTCACAGCATTCAATTGCTACTTAGCACTTAAATTACCAGAAATAATTTTGATTAAGGAGTTAAAAAAAACTCCCTAGAGAGCTGTTGCAATCACGCCACCCCTGGCCACCCCTGGCTGGCTGATGGGTTTGCTGGCTGGAATTACACTGAAGAACCTGGGCTATTGGGGGGGGGGGAGGCATGGAGCTGCCCCAATTTTATCACTAATACACTACCACTGCAGAACATGGATCGAGACCCAGAAACGGCACTCAGAAGTGTTGCAGTTGGGACCTCAACACCATTTCCAAAAAAGCCAACAGCATCCCTTGGAGAAATGAGACGCTGAGCTCTGAGGCAGGCGCATGGACAAGGGGAGCCAGAGACTTCGAAGAACTCAGTCAAAAACGAGTCTCCCGTGGCCTAAATCAAATATTGTCCAACCAATCTAATGCACAGCGACCTGAAAGGGCAGAAGCTACGGGGGTAGGGGGAGGCACAACAGAAAACCTCATCTTTCTCCTATAGGGCAGCTGACCAGCAGGTTTAAACCAGCAACCTTGGAGTTGGCAGCCCAATGCTTAACTCACTGCACCACCAGGACTCTTTCCTGCTGGCCTAAGATAGATGTTTTCAGCATTCAGCATGAGTGCCAGGCCCAGCCACACCTGACAGTTCAACCACGAACAGAAGGGTCTGCCTTATCGCTAGCCTAAACACAATCAATGCATAAAAATGCACAAGGAAACCACAATGCTAACAAAGAAAAACCCTCGCCAAGGCAATATTCTTCCGGAAATCACAAATAAAGGTAAAGAGCAGAGCACTGGCCCTACCTCCCTGCCCCACTGCATCTCAGGATGACCAACAGCTAGAAAGAACCTCTCTCCAGAGGAACAGCAGCCGCCCCAGCAAGGCAGAAGGAGAGAAAGAAACAGAAAAGAACCATCCGGCAGCCCTTTCAGCTAAGTGGGTCAGTCTGGGGCAGCGCTGGTCAATGCCCAAGAATGCCGTTCAGGAGGTGAAAGACTGATGGGGGAATCTACAACGGAGGCATGTAGGCTGACACCATATGAACCCACTACCCAGTTCTAATCAAGAAGGACACAGCATCACCTGGTCTAAAGAAACACACCGGGAACCTAAACAAGCCTCAGAAGCCCTAGCTGCCAGTTTGCAGGAACCACAAGAGACAGATCCACGAAGACACAACTAATCCGCTACATTCCTAGCATGGGACATTCTTATATGATGAACGACCTGGCTTCTCCAACACATCCAGGCACAAAAAAGGTGGTTGGGTGTCAAAGAAAATGTGACCAAGGTACAGGAGTGGGCTTCCAGTACCATGTGGGATAGCACCTCTTGGGGACTCTGCGGGCTACCTGAACTGCCAGGTGTGCATCTAGGATTTGCTCCTAACCAGACTAAGAATTCTGGATGTGCAGCTCCTCCATTTCAGCAAACTGAGCAATGCCAACACTTCATGTCCGTCAGAGTATGCATGTGGGACAAATCTTGTGTTAACTGTTCTAGAAGATGTGACCCTAAAGTACCATAATCACAAATGTGATCTGCAGATCGTGTGTGACCCAATCCAAATAAACCAAATGGAGAGGGACTCTAGAAGTGGCTGGACAGAGCTGAATAGGGGCTGATCATAGATGTTATTGAGTTACCTGCTGTAAGTCACCTTTGTTGAAATAGACATGGCGGTCATAACCTGTGGACAAGCAGATGGATTCTGGGCTCCCACATAATTCTAGCTCCAATCCAAGAACAGCCTTCTTGATACTCGCCTTCATGAAGAGATCACTGAAGAAAAGGTGCTATAGCAAAGTGTGGCGAAGAAAGCAGATGGTGCCCAGCTATCAATCTGAATAGTGCCTGTGGTCTTAAAGACTTGTATTCAAACAAACAGCCATGTAACTGAGACATCAGCTAAGCCCACATTGAAGCAGCACACCAGCCTTTGTGATCCAAAGATGACAATAACAAAATCCAAACAGGATGAAGGAAAAAATATCAGAGCTTAAGGTTATGGAGAACAGTGGGAGCCCAAAGTCAATCTACAGAGTATCTAGTAGGATTAAGTCTCTGGCAGATACCCTCTAGCCACAGGTGAAGGACTCAAACAAGTTTACTATCAGACAGAGATTATTGTAAGCTTGATAACGGTGGATAGACACATGGTATAATATGACAATAACTGATGCAATGATTTATCAGGAATGTAGGAAGGGGGTGGGGAAAAAGGGTGTTTGGGGAGGAAGGGCAAGGGGAATTGGAGAGTAAACAATGAATGTGGGAAGGAGCATTAGAACCGATTGTGATGATGTATATACAACTCTTAAAAAATGATTTAACTAAGGAAATGTATGATATGTGAATATTATATAAAGAAAATTACTAACAACAACAACAAAAGAAACCAAACTTGACCTATAGTTACCATGGGTGAAGGAGGAAGAGATTTTGCATAGGGGGCAATGAGTTTATGTTAAGGTGGTGGAATAATCTGGAAAAGAACATCAATAATGACTATACAACACAAAGAATATAATCAATAGCACTGAGTTATACATGTAGAAGTTGTTAAATTGGGAATGTTTTGTTGTGTATATCTTTGCCACAATTTAAAAAATAATTACATGAATAACAATGAGTACAAGGAAGAAGAAAATGTTCTAAAACTGATTGTGGCAATGGTTGTACAATCCTTCTTGATATGACTGAACTGCTGAAATGTCTGATATGTGGATGAAGTGCCAATAAAACTGTTTTTTAAAAAAAGAAGACATGGCAGTTGGAGTATTCTGCCCAGTCCATTCTGCTTGGCAGTGGCCCCTGCAGGGCAGAACAGCTGCCCTGGGTGTGTCTGGCTGTGGTCTCTGCGTAATCCCATCCTCAGTTTTCTCTCCTGCAGAGCCAAAGGTACATGTAAACCGCCGGCCTCTGGGCAACACCTGAGCGCTTGCTCGCTGCGCCAACAGACCTCCTTCATGGGGTAGCGAGTTACCAATCAAAAGGAAACTCAAGTATTCATGCGTGAAGCAGCATGGTTTCTGTTTTTGCTGTTTTAGACACTTGACCAAAAAAGCAAGAACTCTCCAAAAACTTAAAAATGGAAAAGTGGGACAGAACCGAGAGGGAAGAAGAAACAAAATTGGCAAGGTCACAAAACACCCAAAAGTAGGTCATCAAAATGTTCCCTTACTGAATGTGGAGTAGAAAGAGGGAACCAATTACAAGAATTTAAGTATTGCCTCCTCCCTGGGGGATGGACAGCAGAGAAGAGGGCAGAGGGCAACATCAGACAGGGTAACTTATGACAAAACTATAATAATTTATGAACTATGAAGGGTTCATGAGGGAGAGGGGAGTGCGGAGGGTGGGGGAAAATGAGCAACTGATATTAGGGGCTAGAATGGGAGGCAAACGTTTTGAGAATGATGAGGGCAACAAATGTGCATATGTGCTTGACACAATGGATGGATGTATGGATTGTGATGAGAACTGTACGAGCCCCCAATACAATAATTTTTTTAAAATGTTCCCCTACTTTTGTGTACCTTTTTTCATTTCTATATAAAAAATCAGACATCACCCCCAATACATTCCACATTGTACAAGTAACTCAAGCATAAAAAACAGTAATTTGTTACATCCAGCATTTCATAATTCAACTGTTCTGTTGAACTAAATAACTCAAAACTATCAAGCACATTATACACATAATTCTTAGAGTACAAACTAGAACTTATACTTAAATCTAATTAATTTTTGACATGGCCATAAAACTTAAGGCGAATGCTAAAAAACACTTTCTTAGGAAGTACTCCTCTAAGTCCCTGAGTGGTGTCCAGAGGCTGCCCAGAGAACAGGGGTGGCGAACTGCCTCCCAAAGGTCAGTGCCAAGGAAGCCTGGGAGCAGATCAACTCTACAAAAGGGGGTACGTGGGGGTCTGCGGTGAGGTAGGGGTCAACTCCACAGCACCAACATCTTGCTTTTAAGTAGCAGAATTCAGTAGAATTTTGGTAACAAATAACTTCAATAAAACAATGAGTGGAAGAACAAATGACATTAAGAATTGGTTAATTCCCACCTTAATGTCAAAAAAATAATAATAAAAAACAAGTGTACTCATGCTCATCGCCACCATGTCAATGAAGACTCACAGTGACCCTATAGGACAGGGCAGAATGGCCCCTGTGGGTTTCTGAGACTGAAAGTCTTCACAGGAGTAGAAAGGCTCCTCTTTCTCCAACAGAGCAGCTGGCAGTTTAGAACCACTGACCTTTCCATTAGCAGCCTAACACATACCTAAACAAGTATGCAGGAGGCTTCTAAACACTTCCTAGGGAAGCTCCATTATCTCATTTTTTAAAAAGCAGTTTTATAGGCACATGCTGCACATAACATACAATTCAAACAGTTCAATGATACCGAGACGAGTTGTACAATCATTACCACAATCAATCTTAGAACATTTTCTTTCTGTACTCATTGTCCATGATTTTTCTACTCTATTTCCCTATGAACCTTTTGAAGACCTCCTGTATCTTGAACGTTTAAGATTAGGGACTGGCTGTGCCATTCAAGATAACCAAGAAACCCATGTCTAGCTCAGAGCTTCAAAGTGGTTCAAAGCAGTGCAGGCACGGAAAAAGAAGTGGCATCAGAACAGACCTGACCCTTTACCGTTTGGAGAAGCCCAAGAATGGTGGGAGTTACTGGAAGGTGAGCCATTAGGGGCCAGACTGCATGGGAGGCTGGGAAAAAGGGTAGTGCCCCTTTCAGGGGCCTGGTGTTTGGGAGGCTGGGTCACTGGCAGGCCTGTGGAGAGGGACACACTCAGAGCGATGCTGGGGGCTCCCTCTTTGAGCCAGGCACCAAAGTTTTTGACAGTGGCCGCCAGCAGGCCTACCCTCTCCAGCAGTCCACAGTGCGTCCACCACAACACAGGTCTAGAATCAAGCGCACTGCTGCCCCATGGGGTTCTTCAGAAGGGTCAAGAAGCCTGCCCAAGTCTCAGTTTACTTGTATGGATCAGCCATCAATGTTTCTGAACACTTCTGGCCAGATGTGGCACTCAGCACCAGATGGCCCAGTAAAGGAGGCCCAGGCAGTTCAGAGGCGATGAAGGCTCACATGAGAGCAAGCCCACAGGGCAAGCACCTGGCTCACATATTGGGTGGCTGCACATTCCTGGGACTTCTGCTACCTCAGTATTGGTGACATCCCATCAGGGGGGCATCAGCAGGTCTCTTGTGCCGTCTCAAAAAGCGATTCCACTTGCAGCATTGCAGTCTGACGAGACCAGCAGGCAGGCTGGCTGGATGCTCTGCTTCCAGAAGATGTCTCCCATCTGTCGTGGACAACACCAGAGTAAAGCTGGAAGCCACACCCTCAAGGTGGTCAAGGATTAAGCTCAGGGTCTGGAAGAGTGGTACATCCTGGCATTTACCAGCCTGTGACCTGGGCCAGCCATATCAGGCCAGGCTGGGGTACCGGTCAATACAGTGTCAGAGCCTGCCTAGCTTCAGGAGGTAATGACCCTGACCAGCCCAAAAGAGAACCCCTGTCAGACCTACCTGTCCAAGTCTGACATTGACCGGCTTTCCTGCTCTGCTAGGCTCAGGAGTCCACGGCAAGGGCCACAGAATAGGCAGGCCACTCGCAGCTCAGTGGTTAAGAAAGTAACAAGGCACAAGGCAGGAGCAGGACTAGAGCAAGTAAGCAAGGCTTTAAGTGTGGATGGCTTGCTCAGGCCTCCTCCCACCCTCAGGACAGGTTCCTCTAGACCCTGTCATCTGTCACCACCCAGGCTACCTGGGAGCCCCTTCTGAGCCTAAAGCTGCCGGCTCTGCCCCAGGGTCCCTCGGGGCCTCTCTCCTCAATGTCACAGCACCAGGACCCAGGCCTGCTGACAAGAAAGTCCACACCCTCAGTCTCAGGGGATTCCCAGGTGCTGCCCCATGGAGGAGGGAAAGGGGACCAGCAATAGGACCTGGTGTGCCTGAGAGTGAGGTAGCAGCAGGGAGTGCCACAGGGCTGGGTGGCCCAGGCAAGGGGCTGAGTGCAGGTCAGAGTAGGTCCCTGAAGGGGGTGGGAGTGGCCACAAGAGGCCTGAGAAGTACCACATTCAATGTACAGCAGTGAGTGGTCTCCCCTTCTTTTTGGTTGAGAATGATGTTTTGGAATGACAGTGGTGACAGATGCACAATATACTAAGAACCACAAAATTGTACACTTTACATGGTTAATTTTATTGTTTATGACATATCTCAATCTTAGAATAAAAAAAAGAGTCATCAGTAGGCTGACACATGGGTGTGAAATTTCCAAAAAGGTCTGGCCATCAGCAGTGGCCTGGAGAGAGGACACTGGGCCTCATTTATTCTTCAACATGCCTGGAGCAGAGGCCCACCGCCAAGTGGAGGCAGCAATTCCAGGAGTCCTTATCCAGGTAGATTCCAGTGCTCCACCCCCCAGCAGTCAATGCTGGCCCTGAGTGTGAGTCAAGGGCTTACAGGCCTAAGCCTCGTGCTTGTCAGCAGGATGAAAATGGCCGCCTCCTGGGCCTGGTGAGCAGACACCTGGCACAGTGCACAACACCAGTTTAACAGAAGGTATGGCACCTTCTAAGAAGACCATCTGTATAAAGTGCTCAGCACATGGCTGGCAAACACTAAGTGCTCAATAAATGCTACCGTTTCCCCGAAAATAAGACAGTGTCTTATATTAATTTTTGCTCCAAAAGATGCGCTAGGTCTTATTTTCAGGGGATATCTTATTTTTCCATGAAGAATACGGTACACATTTGTTCTATTAAAAGAGACCTCGCACTTCCTGTCTGCTCCAGCTGTGCTGTGGCCAACAGTGAGTTGTGTGGTGGCACTCGCCACTACAGTCCAGAGTCCAGAGTTATGGTAGATTCGGAGGGCCTTATTTTCGGGGAGGTCTTACTTTCAGGGGAATGCCTTATATTTCAGCGAGAGGTAAAACTGTAAGTAGATGTTATTTCCGGGGGATGTCTTACTTTCGGGGAAACAAGGTAGTAAGTATCATCATTTGTCAGGGAATGGAGGTGATTGGTGGAAAAGGCCTCTGTGAGGGACTCTGGCCTGAATTTCACTCACTGTCAATGAATGACTACAAACCGCAAATGCGCATCAACTACAACCTATCAATCCTACAGTTTCTTTAATACGCTGGTTTCCCTCTAGAAGACACCATGGTGATGTTGTTGTTTTTCCTGAGAGAACTAAGCCTTTTTATTGCCTTGTTTCACAAATAAAGCTGGCTGCTTTTGTTGCTTTTCAGTGACTTGTCAAAGAGACCAAATCCCATATCCTTGTCCAACTCTTCCAATTCCTCCTTTGCTTCTTGCTTGGCCAGGGCCAAAGCAGCAGAAGCAGCAGCAATAGTGGGGGCAGCCATAGGGGTAGCGGCCTAAAAATGCAGATGAATCAGCCAAGAAGGTCTTGACCTTTTCAGTCAGTGGGAAGGTGTACTTAGTCTCCACAGACAAAGCCAAGACCCGCTTGTATCCACTGATGATTGAATGGAGCACAGAGGCAACAGTTGGGTAGCCAATCTGCAGATACACTGGCAACATTGGGAACACCCTCCAGGAAATGGGTGTGCAGAGCTTCCTCTGTGATGTCAAGCATTTCCGTATTATAGATTCTACCATTGTCAAACACCTGCTGGATGATCAGGAGAAGGAGGAGATAGATGTTCAGCAAGGTTACTTTGCTGGTACCCACTCTGTCTCCAGTCTTGATCAGCTGCACATCACTGAGGATTTCAATGGTGCCTCTGGAGATCTTCATGGTGATGTCCAAAGCCTGGAAGAAGGAGGTCTTCTTGGGACCCAGGCCTGTGTTCTGAGTGGGCACAGTCACCTCACAAAGGGCGATGGCACCAGCATGGGCAGCAGCTGGCACCTTGTTGGCCAGCAGCATGTCCCTGATCTCAGTGAGGTCCTCCTTGGTGAACACAAACCCCACATTCCATCGGATATGAGACACCAGTTTCTCCAGAGCCGGGTTGTTCTCCAGGTGCCCTCGGATGGCCTTGCACATCATGGTGTTCTTGCCCATCAGTGCCACGGCCTGCCTGCGGAAGGACATGCGGATCTGCGGCATCTGCTTGGAGCCCATGTCGTCTGCTCCCATAATGAAGCATTTTGGATACTCATCCAAAAGTTGGATTATTTTAAGGAAGTAATTAGACTTCCAGGTCGCCCTGTCTTCCCTGGGCACCACGGCGGTGTGTCAGGGATCGCCACTCGAGGTTTAAAGACGTTGTCACCCTAAGAGGACAACTGGCAAGAGCACCATGGTAAATTTTAAAGGGTCACAGTTTCTTACAGCACCTGCAATTAAGAAGCAAAGTCCATTTCTCCTCGGCTTGAATCTCAGCTGCCGTCAATGAGCTGTAGACAACAGAGGGTGGTGGTGAACATGCAGTTCTGAGTTGGGTTTCTAGAGGCCTGAGGCTCCCACTCTAGTCCCCCTAGAGCAGCAGTTCTCAACCTGTGGGTCACGACCCCTTTGAGAGTCGAATGACTCTTTCACAGGGGTCGCCAGATTCAAAACAGTAGCAAAATTACAGTTATGAAAATAATTTTATGGTTGGGGGTCATCACAACATAAGGAACTGTATTAAAGGGTTGTGGCTTTAGGAAGGTTGAGAACCACTGCCCTAGAGCCCTGTGAGATGTGAAGAAGCCCCACCCAGCCTCCTTGAGAATGGCAGGACATGTGGAGAGAAGGGCCCAAGCACTGAGCAAAGGACACGTGTAAGAGTCACACGAGTCAGCCAAGTGACAACTCGAGGAGCAGAAATTAGCCAACCCAGTTGAGCCCCAACAAACTGCCATCCCACAGGCCTCTGAGTCACTCAGTCATTGGAATGGTTTATTACACTGTAAGGCAGCAGAGACTCCATGACAGGCTGAGCATTTTTAAATAGGCCTAAGTTTCTTTTTTTTTTTCTCTTTTCCTCCAGCTTTAAGTTTCGTTTCTCTGACAGCCTTGAGTTTCACTCCCCTAACAAAGCCACCCTCTCCCCCGAAAGGACGCCGACCATACCTGCCAAGGCCCAGTAATCACAATGGTGCTGGCCGCATCTGGAAAAGTTCTGAGTGAACACAATTGGAACGTTCCGAGAGTGGAGCCAGTCAACCAACAAGACCTGCACAACTGATTGTCTCCAGATAAAGTCATTGAACTATGGGAGGCTGAGGGGGAAATAGTCTCACCCAGGGGGGATCGTTTCACCCAGTTTATGTAACCTGTACAGAGTATAAAAGCTTGGCTTGTGCCCCAGGCCTGGGTCCTTGTCTTTGGTGACCACTGGGTTGGTGCCTTAGCACTTGGGCCCTAGCTCGAGCTAGTCAGTAAACTCCTTGGTGGTTTGCAGCCTCGGTGACTCTGCCTCTCTGTTCCTGGGGCCACGGGAAAGTCGGCAGTAACAACACAGCAACAGTTAACAAAGTAGCCATTTTATTAAAGTTCTTTTCTCAGATCTCCAATATCCCCATCCCCTCAACTCAACAGAAAGAACCAAAGGTCTCATAGTCCCTCCATCACAACTACCGTATCGAAACTAACCACATCCACTGCCTTCTCTCCTGCAACAGTGTGGAGAGTCCTCCCTCCAGACCCTCTCCTTCCAGTAGAACCAGTCTCCCCTCCTGTACTACAGCATTCCGAGTGTTTCTACACAGTCTAGTACTTCTAGAGCATACTAGCATGTGTGGGTATGTGCAAGCACAGACACAGGCAGACACACACACAATTATTAATGTAGCAGTCCTAGCAATGCAAAAGAGCAGAAAAAGAAGAAAATCCATCTTTATTCAAAGGTAGTAATTTTTATGTAGACAGAAAGTCCAAAAGACTCTACAAACACATGAGAATAAATGAATTAAGTAAGTTTTCAGGATATACAATCAGCATACACATATTAAATGTATTTTTAGATACTAACAACAAATAACAAAAAATATTTCAAATATTACAATAACATTAAAAATATCAAAGCTAATAATTGAATATTAAAAGTATACTGCTAAAAAAAAAAAGTATACTGCTATGCTGAAAAGTACATCACAGTCATTAAAAAAAATAAGGTATATCTAAATAACTGGAGCTGTATACTACATTCATGGTTCAGACTTATTTTTGCTAATGATGAAATTCTCAAATGGATATGCAGATTTATTTTTTGCTAATGATGCAATTCTCCTCAAATGGATATGCAGATTCAAAGGAATCCCAACCAAACTCCCATCAACATATTTTGTACAAATTGAAAAGCTTATTCTAAAATCAGCAAGAGTTTTGAAGTGGACTAAAATTGATTTTTTTTTTTTATGCTACCTGGTTTCAAGGCTGACCATTAACTTACAGTAAGTAGGAGAGTGCAGAAAAGACCCAGGTTCAATTCCTGACCAATGTACCTTAAGAGCAACCACCACCCACCCACCTACCTGTCAATTGAGGCTTGCACGTTGCTATGATGCTTAAGTTTCAGCAGAGCTTCCAGATTAAAGCGGACTAGGAAGAAAGATCTAAGATCCACTACCAAAAATCAGCCAGTAAAAACCATAAAGACAAAAAAAAAAACAAAAACCATAAAGACCCCAGTGGTTGGACTGTGATGTACATGGAGGTGCTATGAGTTGGGCTCCAACCCAACAGCACTAACAAGAGTCATGGCATGTAAACAGACCTAATAGAAAGCCTAGAAATGAACCTACCAACATGTTCAATTAACCTATAGCAAAGCCCAATGCACTTGCATAGAAAAAAGAATCTTTACTACAAATAATGCTAGAATGATTGTGTACACATATGGAAAGGATAAATGGCCCTTCTTACACCACAAACAAAAATTAATGCAAGAGGGATTACACAAAAAGGAGGTCAGTCAGTAGTTGCTTGGAGTGAGAGGCTAGGAAAGAATATAGAGGGAAGGGTTCCAAAGACAAGTCATTTTGGAAGGAGAGATATGCTCACTATCTTGACTGTAATGCTAATTTAGCAGGAACATAATGTTTGTCAAAACTTATCAAATTGTGGAAACTACTGCCTTGAGATAATCTTGAAAACTTACACCAAAAACAGCCCCTGATGTTTTCTCAAAATCAAACAACAGTATATGCCCGTGAGCATTAGGTCCTTTTAAAAAAATCTGTTATTACATAAGATCAAGTTGATAGCAGCAACTCAAAAGGTTAGATAGGCATCTTAGGGGGCAGTGAGTTTAGGTTAACAGGAGAGGATCAACTCTAATCAGAAAAGGAGGCTAACGTCATCAATGTCACTGAATTGTACATGTAAGACGGGCGGATTGAAAAAAAAAAGACCGGCGGATTGGTGAGTTTTGCTATGTATATTGTCAATAACAAAATAAAAATTTTAATTACTTTTAAAAACACTTCTCAAATTATACAAGTCGCTATTGAAATAAAACCAATGCAAACTCACTGTCATTGAGTTAATACTAACTCATCGCAGCCTTACGGGTCAGGGTAGAACTGCCCCTATAAGTTTCTGAGACTGTTTATGGGAGTAGTGAGCCATGTCTTTCTCCCACAGAACCACTGGTAGTTTCAAACTGCCAACCTTGCAGATCACAGCCCAAATTGTAACCACACATCACCAGGGCTCTTTATTTCAATAAAGCTGTTCAAAAAATTTAAAAGCCCTAAATGTAAAAGCTAACACTATAAAGCTTATAGGAGAAAAAAACCATTGTCTTCACAACCCTAACACAGGCAAAATTCCCCTAGGACAATATACTAACCAAAAAAGAAATACACTGACACATTTTCACTTCATCAAAGTTGAAATTTTCTGCTCATCAAAAGACACCTGGATTCAGTGGAAGATTGATGCCAAGACACATGGAGACCTCCAAGGGACAGTGGGCCCATGGGATGCACAGACCCTCTTTCAGAACCAACAAAGAGTTCTAAGAGAAACCCTTCTTTTAGAACTGGGACCCTGAATTTGGACTTCTAAACTCCTAAACTGTGAGAAAATAAATGTTTCTTAAAGGTATCACTTGTGGTATTTCTGTTATGGCAATGCTAAGATAGAATGTGGTGGGTACCAAAAAAGTGGGGTGCAGGTCTCAAACAGATGCCTAAAGTATGGAAACAGTTTGTAACTGGGTAACTGGTTAGAGGGCCTTAAGGTAATTAACAATAATAAATATCTCAATTATGAACATCAAAGGCAATTTCAGTGAGGGCTCATAAGGGCGTGAGGAGAACTGTAGCACCTGACAGTCAGCAACAAGTGGCAGAACCTGGAACCAAAGCAAGAAACTCGTAGCTGATTCACACAGTGAGAGCGGAGTCCAAGGTGTACTAGCATAGTGGGGTGCCTCCTCACACTTAGCAGTACAGCTACAGAGTTGTGTAACATTTGTCCAAGCAAGCCAGAGGCCAAACTGGCCCAAGGGACCAAGGGGCAGAGAGGTCAAGGAATCAGGAAGCAAAAACTGTAGAGAGAATGAGACATAGACCGTGTCTGTCTCAAGTGGTCAGGGCATGACCTCAGGGGTCTCAAAGCATGGAACCACAGTCCACAGGCTCTCAAAGAGTGAGGCCACGGCTTCCTAGATTTCCGAATTAGGTATTTACTAACTCAGTCCCAGAGTGTGGGATACCATTCATGACTACCCTGGGGATGGGGCTGGAGCCAATGCCCAAACTAGGGGAGTGGACCTACCTTGCTCAAGTGTGAAAACGGGTCGGCCAGGGCCCAGGGTTGCCACTCAGTTGGACTAGAACATGGTTGGCAAACTGCAACTCTCCAGCCATGTTCAGCTCTGAAGTAAAATTGAAAAATGAAAACTCATAGTTTCATTTAAAGGATATTATTCTGATAATAGTGATTTCATTTGTTTGTGAAAATATATTTATGACTCGTGAATAAGTTTTAAATTGTTATGATGGACAGAATTGGATCTTCTGTCTCAAAAGGTTACTGACCCCTGGACTAGAAGGAACCACCCAGAGCCAAGCAGGTAGAGTTGCTGCCCCAGTGGCCCAGGAAGGTAGGGCTGCAGTACAGGGCTAAGGGGCTTCCAACATGAGCACAGAGGGCAGGGCCACTGCTTGGAAGATCTCAGCAAACAGAGAATTCTTTTCAAGCCTTGAGAGCTAATTAATATAAATTCTTCTGCTGTTTTTTTTTACCTGCTTGGTGCCTTTTATTTCTCCTATTTTTAATGGGAATGTATGCCTTGTGCCTATTCCACCATTGTACTTTGTAAACAGATAACATATTTTTTATTCCACAGGTTCACAAATGAAGAGGAATTTTTTGCCCCAGATGATGGCCTTAGATTTGTTTGGAGATTTTAGGGATGATATGATGAAGTGAATGTGGTAAGGACATGAATTTAGACCAAAGGGTGGAATACTATGGCCTGAATTATAATGCAAAAAAAAGTGTCAACGTGGTTAGACCATGATGCGATTACCTTCCTTGTTAATAATTATCCTCTATGTTGTAAATCTTAACTTCTAGGATGTGAATGAGGCAGGATTAGAGGCAGTTCTGTTACTGAGGCAGGGTACAATCTGCAAAATTAGGTTGTGTTTTGAGTCCATTTATTTTGGGATACAGAAGAGGTTAAACAAGTGCAGAAATCAGAGTGACCACAAAGAAAGAGATGGGAAGAGAACTCATCCTTTGGACCTGAGGTGCGAAGGACCTCCGAGACTCAGGGAAAGACTGACGCCAAGGTACTTGGGAATCTCCAAGAGACACCTGGTCCAAAAATGGTGAGACAAAGACCTTCCTCATGGCCCACAGAGAAGAAAGCCTTCTCTAGAGCTGGCGTGCAGAATTCAGAATTCTAGCTTCCTAAACTGTGAGAGGATAAACTAAAGCCATCCGCTTGTGGTATTTGCTATGGCAGCACTGAACAGCTACAACACGTTATCTATACACACACACACACACACACTCCACATGCTCATGTTGGTTTTTTTAAAGCTCTCTCTGGAAGGGCACAAGAGGAGTCAACACTGGTGGTCTTGGAAGAGGAAGTGGGTGAGAGTGAGACTGACTTTTTACTACACACACTTAGTATCTTTGAAAATTAAATGAAATCACCACCACCACCACCACCCCCAATTAAATAAAAATAAATAAAACCGTTGTCATCAAGTTAATTCTGACTCAGAGTGACCCTCCAGGATAGGGAAGAACATCATAAGGTTTCCAAGGCGGTAACCTTGTGGAAGCAGACTGCTCTCTCCTCCTCCTGCAGAGTGGTTGGTGGGCTCAAAGTGCACAGCACTTAACCACGGGACTATAAGGGCTCTTCTAATAAAATAAAGCCCACTGCAAGTGCTATAGAGAAAAAATATATGCATCCTCAAGCTGACCGGCCTTATGCCTATGAATTGACTTATCCTCTGAACTCTGGACTCTTCTGCAAGACACCTTCTCCCTAATGGTCTCTGGACTTCTCACACTTCAGCCAAGAGAGAGCCTTGCTTTCTATCTCCAACCTCTAATAACCCCCATGTTCCTCAACCAGCCACTCCAGCTCACTTCCTCATCTCATCAGTAAACACTACCCACCATCTGTTCCATCCGCCTAGAAACTACCCTGAATACTCTCTTCCTCTCGACCCTACTCTCATCTCAGCGAGTCTTATCAGGTCCACCTCCAAAATATTTCCCTAAGTCAACCACCATGACTTGAACCACCAGAACAAAGGCACCCACCTCCCACCCATCTGATTACAATGTTTCCCAACTCACTTTTCCCCTATAACTCAGACTCAGGGCCCAATCCTCACTAAGGCCTACAAGGAATGTCATAATTAGGCCAGCTCCTCCACTGGGTTCCTGGTGACCTCCCCCTTAACGTAGTCACATCAGTCTTATCTAGATTCCTGAAGGATGTCCAGCCTGTTTCCACTTCAGGGCCTTTGTACATGCTGTAATCTCTGCCTGGAAGGCCCTATCTCCCCAGCTTTCCTTATCACTGTCCAGCACTGAGCTGACCTGTCCCCTTCTTATGTCCTTAGTATCTGGCAGAGCACCTAGCTCAGCAGGAATTCACTGCATGCTTCTGGTGAAAAGAAACACTCTCCTGGAGCTCAGAATCTACTGTGTTGATGAGGAACGGAGAAATGGAAAGGAAAGCAACACCAGAAAGGAAGAGACATCAAGAGGTGAACCACTGGGCGTGTGTGTGACAGCAGGAGACTGGGGCCAAGGACATAGCAGGGACACGCCCTAGGGGCAGGGGGTACACAGGTGGGATAAAAGAATGACAGAGCACAGAATAAGATGGGTGGGCACAGTGGCAAAACAAGGGTGCAGTGACAGGGACTAAGCAGAGTGAAAATTGGATAAGCTGGTGGTGACAGGACAAGGGAGAAAGGTAATGGTGGGAGAGGTCAGTAACAAGTGGGGACAACGCAGGTGGGGCTGTGCTAACAAAGGAGGTAAGAGCACACATGGCAGGTGGGGTGCAGGTGGAAGACAGCACAGTGATTGTTGGGAGGGGCCACACCAGGAACCAGTAAAGTGCACAGGGAAGGAAATAGGTGTGAATAAAGGGATGATGGGCATGGTCAGCAAGGGGGAAGAAGACGGACTGGACCAAGTGAAGAATGAGGGTGACTGGTGGCATCTGCAGGAGTAGAACTGGAGCTCCAGAAGGAGGGGACAGTGACTAGACAAAGGGGGCAACAGCAGGCGACACTGGTAGGGGAGTGGAGAATGTCACACACTGACTGGCAGAAGAGGGGCAGTGGGGGACTCTAACACGGGGGACCCTGACATGTGGGGGCACTGACACACTGACATGGAGACACGGTGTGGAAGGTTGGTGTGGGGAAGCACTAACGCAGAGGACATGGATAGGTAGAGAACACTGACATAGAGACGTGACAAGCAGTCACTGACTGGTGGGTGGCACTACACAGGGCGAATCAGCATGAGGGGTCACTGATGTGGGAGGGAAAGACCTTGAGGGTCATTGATGTAGGGGGGCCCTGATGTGGGAAACCACTGACAGGGAGGGGGTGGGGGAATGACATGAGGAGTCACTGGTGCTGGAAGGGGCTCACAAACACGGGGGCATGGGACCACTTACTATGGGAGTCACTGACACAGGAGGGTCCTTAACAGGTGGAAGGGTCACCAACACAGGGGGAGCCTACTGACAAAGGTGGGCCACTGACATGGGGAAGCCACTGACATGGGGTCTCTGAAGTAGGGGTCACTAACGTGTGGAGTCATATTGATGTGGGAAGCAAAGACCTTGGGGGTCAATGGCATGGGGTTGCTGACATGGGAGGGGCGCTGAAATGGAAGGTCTCTGCCAAAGGGATCTGACATGAGAGCTCTCTGATGTGGGGGCCACTGACATTGGGAGTCACTGACACGGGAGAGTCATTGACACTGGGGGGTCACTGATGCAGGGGGTGGGCTGCTGCCAGGGGGCATCGCTGAAATGAGGGGGGCTACTGACAGAGGGGAGCTACTCATATGGGGGAGGCCTCCGACATGAGTCACTAATGTGGAAGTCCAAAACCTTGGGGGTCACTAACACAGGGGTGCCACTGACGTGGGAAGTCACTGGCATGGGTCGCTGATGGGGGGGCTACTCATGCAGAGGAGGGCTGGGGCGCCTGATGACATAGGGGTGGGTCTCTAACGCAGGGGTCACTCATGTTGGGGTCACTGACGCGAGAGGTCACTGATAATGGAGGCAGAGACCTTGGCGGTCAATGACATGGGGTCGCTGACGTGGGGTGGGGGGCGCTGAAGTGAGAGGTCACTGGCGTGTCGGGACTTTGACGTGCGGGTCGCCGACGTGAGGGGTCACCGGCTGGGGGCCGTGGGCACGGGGTCGTTGACGTGGGACACGGACGGAAAGCGACACTGACGTGCTCACGGGCCTGAAAGCGG